ATTAAGAATTAATGTTTTTAAGAAAATAACAGTCATTTTTTTCCCTGCTGCATTATACAGTCACTTTAGTACCAAAATTGCATCAAAGTAGCACAATAAACATGTACTTGGGAAAGAATATATGAAATTGCTAGAGAGTGGGTTATTGCTCTGCAATAAGACATTGCCATTTTAAAATCTCAAATCAAAATCTCAAAGGAAATATTTTCAATGATGAAAATTTTGGTAGAAGGATGGTCAATGTTGTAATGAATGTGAGCTTTTTTTTAGTTAAAAAAAATTGAAATTCACCTAGGAAATAACGTAATATCTATATCAGTTATTGCAATCTGAAAAACATTCTCATAATTGTCCTATTCTCTATGGTAATGAGATATTCATAACACTTAAATAAAACTTTAGAAATAATGATGTTTTAGTTAAATAAAGTAATGCTGACCCAGTTTTGTATCATCCGAAAGAGACAGGTATAATTTCTTGTGGAATCGCTTTGCACAAACTTCAGCTCTACAAGTCTTGTGTCTAGGCGCAAAAAGGCCAAATTTGGCATGCCAAATCCACCAACCAAATCTTGTGAAGAAGCGCAGCCCAGTGGGAAGAGAGGAGACTTTGAATCTACATGGCCCTCAGCCTGTATTCAAACTTTTCCAACTAGGAGCAGTGTGACATGGACAGCTCTTCTGTATGTTCATATCTGAAATATTCATTCAAGATAAGTGGACATGATCAGTTTGTCTTTTCACTGAATTGTGCACACTTTAGGGGGACAGACTGTTATTCTACTTTGCTTTTCTAATCTGTTAAATGGGAATAATTTGGAGCACCTCCAGACTGGCTAGCAAGGTTAATAAGGCAACATATGTAAAAGCATCTGCCCCCTAGCCTGGCACCTGAGGTCAATACCACAATGATTATGGTCTATGACTTCTGCCATTCCTGTGATGGTATAACATCCTTTCTTCCTAATTAGTGCTATATCCAAGGATTTGTTCATGTGGCATGCATATCAAACACCCACAGATAAACTCAGCCTGGCTGTAAACCAGGCCGTCTCCGTAGGCCTTTCATCAGTTATCTGGATTCATGATTGGGATGTTTTCAAACATGTAGTGCTGGATTTATGGAAAGGAAAAATAGAATTATGGCTCTATCTGCCTTCATTATTGGGATTTTATGGAAACTATCCAGGCAATCTTGAGAGCATGGCTTAAAACACACGAGCTGCTCAGTTAAAAGGGGGTCTGGATGGTTTCCAATTGGACACAGCCCAAATGCTAACATTCAAGATTAACAAAGGTACTTGATATTCGGAACTGCCATCTTCTCAGTAATATGCACGAAACTAACAGAAGTGAAGAACTAACTGGATGGACACACTTGAGTTCATGAAAGCTGTCTGAAAATCCTTCTCAGGGATTATCTGCTTTTACTATGATGGCTCATAAAAAGACCAACAAAGTCATGCATTTTTGGAAGGCCACTGTACTAAAAAATAATTGACAAGATGCTATAATCTATTAGATGAAACAATCCAACACAACAAAGAAAATCCAAGTTCTTTGGTTAGGTTTCTTAATGGCTTCATTAAGAAACTACAAAGTAACACAATATCTAGTGTGCCCATTCAGAACCTGAATCTGGGTCATTGAAATAAACGGATCTATCACAGAATAGACATAATATTATTGCACAAATATATAATTCTATAGTCCTAAGAAATACAATTTCACTTTCTTAAGCCCATGGCTCACCCTCTTTTTTGGGGACAGAGGCCTTTTCTAGGAGAGTTTAAACAATCCATTGGATTTAGAAGACCTGGTATAACATCAATCAGACGCATAGAAGCTGGGTGGCAGGACCAACTTCTGGTTCTTCTCTCCCCTAGAAATCATTAAGGGTTAAAGTTAAGTGTACTTTTATGTTGGTAAACTTAATTACTAAAGATTATAACAGCTTACATTTGAATTCTGACAAGTGTTCTTACATGTACCTGTATGTGTATACACATATGCTCACTAATTTGTTCAATCCCCGCGAGGGGCTCTGTCTGTAGACTTAAAATAAAAATAAATTCCCCTGTGATTTAAATTTTCATCTTCTGAATCCTAGGTCAGTGCTTTTCCCTTCAATGCCAAGACTGACACAGAGCAGAGGTTCAAGCCCCATTCTCCAAACTCTCCCATTTCAATGCTCTTGCCTCATGAGCATTCAAAGTTCCAGTTGAAGCAGGTAGGATGTCACTCTATGAATGGATGCCCCCATAAAAAACACTGTATGCTAATGGAGTTCACTGAACAGGAAAATGCCCAGTTCTCCAAAAGGCCAGTCATATTGCTGGGGTCAGTCCCAGAGAGAGCAACAACTGTCTAGGACAAAGAGGGAGGCTAGCTAGTACCAAGCCTGTACCTAGGTGTTTTAGGGTCAATGTTTTCAGACCTGGGATCCATGTGTGCTCTCCTTATAAATAATCCATACTCGAATGGAAGATCTGCCTTTTGTCAACCACGGAAAACAGGACAAGAAGAGGAAAACTAATAAAGTGCCCCGGCAATTAAGGGATTAGTTTTACAAAACTCTAATCTCTTTCTACTGCATTAAGTGGCGGGAGCATACCCAGGACATTTACTGGCCTTGGGTGTGTGTCTTTTCTGTATCACAGCTGCCATATGGGCTGCTTCCCACCCAGGTCCAGGCACCAGCAGTCTGTCTACACTCAGAATATTTTTAAACCTGGAAGATTACCCTATCAAATGGAAAATCCCAGCATGTTGCTTTAAAAAGCACACTGTAATAAAATAAGGGAGATTGTTAGTAATGACTAAGCTGATAATTTGGGAACTAAAAATAAAAGTAACTTCATTGCAACTCTTATCTGCCTATGTGAACCCCATACTGTACCATAAGAAGAAAACTTATTCCAACTGAAATCTGATGGATAGTGCTTGGAGTTTAGATCAGACAAACAAACAGTAGCTCATTCTTAAAGTGGACTCAGTGTCTTCTAGTTTTACTAATGCTTCCTGTGGAGAATTTTAGTCTTATTGACTGCCTTGTATACCACTGTGCTATGAAGTGCTGTGCTCTGGACATGCAGCCTTTAACTATAAATCAGAATTGGCAAGTTTATTTCTGTTAGTTATAAACTAAGATATATATGGAAAGTAGTATGTTTCACAAAGGGAGTCTAATACTCTTGTTTTAGGCATAAGATCATTTTACAGTGGAAAATATATATTTTTCATGTTTGAAACCCTGTGTTGATTTTTTAAACCCTCGTGTGTGTGTGTGTGTGTGTGTGTGTGTGTGTGTGTGTGTGTGTGTGTGTTGTTGATTTTTTTAATGAGGGTGAGGTAAGGTAGGAGTAGAGACAGGGAGGATAAGATCTACTGTTAACTAGTATTACAAGGGGAGAGGCAATTCAAAATGTGATTAATGGAAAAGTTGAAATGTACAACATCATAGATGATTTTGAATCTTTTGTATCCATATAATTTGGTCCTTAAATCAGGGTTATGGTTGTACTATCCCCCACACCTGCTTTTTCCCACTTCTTAAAAGTGAGGATTCTTCGTTGTTAAAATTGAACTTTGAATAAGAAGCACAGACAATCTAGAAAACCAAATGAAAGAACCGGCAATGGGGTCAGGGCTTTGGGGTTTTGCTACCACACTGCACCAAGAATGTCGAAATGCCATTGACTTTCTCAAAGGCTCAGTCTATTTGGGAGTCATTCCCAGTTGTTTTAGGCAATTATTCGTGATCTTCCAAAAGGTGAGCAATTCACTTCAAGTGTGCCATTAGGCCAATTGAATGTCACAAATTATTTCATTTTGAAAATTTTCAAGTATGTGCTTATTATAGAGAAAAGTCGACTTCCATTTTCTATTATTAGGAATGAAAGAAGTTGTGAAAGAAACACTCCCTTGGTACTCTCCTGGACAAATGGATATTAGAAAATCTACAATAGTTAATCTGAGGAAATTGGTTTCTCCAAATCCCTCCTTCAGTTAACATTAATAAAAAATGAAGACATTGCTGAGTGAATTGCAGGGCCCTGGTTTTTGAACTTCAACCTACCATCATGTAATCTTTTATTTCATCTCTTCCTGGATGTCCTTGTTTGTCTTTAATATACAGGCACCAGATGACCTGCAAATAGTGAGGTCTTGGGCTGACCGGCCCTAGCAATACACTCAACATTTCATGTCCAGTCATGGCAGTTTAGATGTGTCCCTTGTCTATCCTAGTCAGCAGTGGCTGAATATTGTGTATTATAATGCTTGTCGCTGAAGTAACTCAGTGTTTAAACAACTAGTCAAAATGAGGGAAACAAGTCATTTCAATATTTTTAAACTAAAATCACAGTTTTCATATGCCCAGGTATTGACCCAACCCGAGTCCAAGTTATTAGAGATCCTAATGACAGTCTCGTTATTTTGACTCTCAATTGCTTATCATGAGTTCTAGAATCTGAATGTTTGTGTGCACCAAAAATTTATATGTTGAAATCCTCACCCCTAAGGTGATGGTATTAGGATGTGGGGCCTAGGGGAGGTCATTAGATCATAAGAGTTGAGCCTTCATGAGCGGAAATTAGTGTGCTTGTAAGAAGGAGTCTAAGAGAGAGCCCTCACCCTTTTTACCATATGAGATTAGAGCGAGAAGACAGCTTTTATTGAGGAAAGGCTCCGCTTACCAGATACCATTTCTACTGGTATCTTGTTGTGAAACTTCCCAGTCTCCAGAACTGTGAGAAATATATTTCTGTTGTTTATAAGCCATCCCATTTGTGGTATTTTGTTATTGCAACCCGAAAAGATTAAAACAACGGGAAATCTGATTCTCTGCCTAATGAAACTGCATATTACTGAGTCAAGGTTCATAGTTGCAAGGAACAGAAGAGAGAATGAGATTAGTTCAGCATTGAGGCATTGTTTTCAAATACCCCTGAAGAGGCTTGATTTGGAAACCCAAGTACTCACGATTTGAATGATACTGACTTTGTAGAAGCTCTGCTGGTGGGATCACTCCACTCTGAAAAGAAAGGACACAAACAATTGCTGTTCATGCTTCTACTGTTAAAGGATTATTCTGAATTAAATTGGTCTCCCAACATGCAGCCCTCCCAGTTATACAGTTTCACACCTACTTGCCATAAATAACAGATGAAAAAATGAGGGGGAATCAATGGGACATATCACATATAAGTTTTTGTTATTGTTGTTCTTTCATGTTTTTTTTTTAAATAATTAATCAGTATTTTTTATTATGGTTTTGTGGGGTACAGTTAAGGGTTAGGTGTACAATTACGTTTCATTCAGACACACTGTTGATAAGAGGTGTTTTCCCAGCCCCAGACATATTTGCTACTGTTAATCCCATCTCCCCCCCCATAGTTTCCCAGTACTGTCAGTCATTTTCTTATAGTATTACATTGGATGTTCAAGGTCCATTATATGAGTGGGAACATGTGATATTCTGATCTTTGTTTCTGTGAGAGGTCACTCAGTATTATAGACTCAGTTCCATCCAGGTTGCTGCGAAATTCATGATTTTGTTCTTTTTTATGGCTGCATAGTATTCCATCGTGTATATGTACCACATTTTTTTAATCCAGTCCTCTTTTGATGGGCAGCATGGTTGTTTCCAGGTTCTTGCTATTGTGAACAACGCTGCGATAAATATACGTGTGCAGGTATCTTTTTTATAGAGTGATTTGTGTTCTTCAGGGTATATTCCCAGTAGGGGGATTGCAGGGTCATATGGAAGGTCAATTTTTAGAGCTTTTAGGAATCGCCACACTGCTTTCCACAGAGGTTGCACTAGTTTACACTCCCACCAGCAGTGTAGAAGTGTTCCCTTTTCACCACACCCTCTCCAGCAGCTGATATTTTTTGAGTTGTTGATAATTGCCATTCTGACTGGAGTTAGGTAGTATCTCAGTGTGGTTTTGATTTGCATCTCCCTGATGATTAG